CCCCGGCGATCGATCTGAATGCCAAGAGACGTAGAAAGAGAATGAAGACGAATTGACGTCGTCGAGACTCTGGAAGGGCAGAGTTGTTGTGTTGTAGACGGCAAGTTGGCAGAATAAGATGGGCAAAGATATTATTAGGGGACTTCGCCCAGGGTCCTAGTGATTTTTTTTTTGTCTTCGGTCAGGGCGATGCGGCTGGAGGACACGATTTGGGGTGGATGCAGGGCTGCGTAAGATGGCGGATGGCTGTGCTGTGCCGCACCGAGTACGACTGAGCTGTTCCAATTAAGGCACCGAACGGCTTGAGCGGGAGGCTGATCTGGACGAGCTGCGTGTCTTCGTAGAAATGTGGTCGTCGAAAGGGTTTTTGTCCAAGGAGCGAAGTTTTTGCTTCGTTGAGTGAGTGACGGTCGAGTTTCGCAAAACCTCGAGACGGCAGTGATATGGGAAACGGGCGAGACTTGGCACAGGGCGAGTCTTTAATAGGTAGGTCAGGATGCAAGGGAGAGAGGGACTCAGGGAGGGAGTGGAGGGCACCTCAGCGATAAAGAGAAGAAAAGAAGGGACGATTGGCAGATGGAGGCTGCGCTACTTCGGAGGAGCAAGTTGCGATAGGGAGTCGAGCGATTCGTCGATTCGATTCGCAAGGCAATGGACGGGACTGGACGAGACTTGGACGGGCCGGGGAAAGAATGAGCAATGGAAGTCCCTTCTGTGCCTTCTTTCCTTGGTTTGGTGGCGTGGCCCCCTGGAAGGTACACCTCAGGGTAGGTACCTTGGCTGCACCTGCTCCTGCTGCACCTGCTGCTTGGCTGGATGTCGCCGCCGGGTCTGCCTTCTGCGGGCTGCGGTGCTGACAACACCTCAGCAAAGTACGTACACACTGCACCGTCACCGCGTAACCTCCACCTCACCATCTTCACACTTGCCTTGTATGCGCATGCCCTACTGCGTGAGGTGCTTCCGGCCGTCGGAGAACCACACGATCGTCCCTGGCGCGAATGCTACGGCGCAGTGCTTTCCAAGTCCTTACCTGGCCTAAGGTAGTGGATGGATGGGCGCCGGTGCTGACGGGCAACTTGGCCGCTTGGCGCTGCTGCCAGGGGATTCGACAGGCCAGACAGGCCAGACGACGGATGAGACAGCACGGGAGGGCGGATTGCACGGACGGGAAAGACACCAAGAGATGGGATCCCCGTGCTCGACCGCGCTGGGTGCATGGACATTGCAGACACGAACAAGCCCGAGGTCTGGTGGCAGACGGGTAGGGCGAGCGAGGCAATGGATGAATCACTGAAGCACTGGAAGCCGGGACACGGGACGGATACAAACAATCCGAAGAAAGTGCCCAAAGACTTACGCCATCTGCCGACGGATATGACGAATGAGCATCGCGGCATCTGTGCTCGGGAAGAGCTGCCGAGCGAGAGTGACTTTGAGACGGGGGACGGGGGACGGGAGACACGGCGGCGGTCCAGACAAAGAGTCCCGTCTCGTCGATTGACTCGAGTCCGTCTCGCCCGTCTCGCCCGTCTCGTGCAAGTCTCGTATCGCGTCGCGTCAAATGCCTTCTGCACTCTGCTCTTAGTAAGGAGTGTGTGTGTGTGTGAGTGTGCTCGTAAGATTGAGCAAGCCTTCGCTTCGAATGTGGAAGTCAGTCGCCCAACATTGTTGGCCCGGTTAACTTGGAAAAAGTAGGTATTCAACGAGTCGTGGGACGGCGGACGTCTAGCCTGATGTGGCCTTGGCGGAGCAATCTGCACGAAGCAATGCCCGTCCCTTGGAAGGCTGGATATTGGGCATGTTGGACCCCAAGGAATGGCGCACGGATTCGAGTCAAATTCGTCCATGGATAATGGATGGCATCACACACGTACGAATACGCAGGTGGCAGGATGGATCACCAAGCACACCTGATGAGGGGAGTCGGGGACACTGAGGGCAGGTGGAATCAGTTGGTCTCTGCGCTCCTGCACCTGCTGTTCGTCTTGCCATACCAATGCCAAGTCCTGCCTGGGAGTTCCTTCCACGTGTTTTCCATTCTCCGTGCCTTACCTAAGCCAGGCACTCGCTGGCTCACCCCTGATGATACGTACCTTGCCATGTACCCGGACGAGGCACGTACCAGGTGTCTTCTTCTCCTCCTTTCGCTTCGGTGTCCCGAACAGGGGCCTCAGCAAGATTTCTGGTAATTGGGATCCGTCCTGTGGATGCCCTCGCGGATCTCGGCGTGTCCATGGACGACAGGGAGGCCCGAAAAAGATCGAGAAGGAGAAATAAGAATGTCAATTGAGTACCAAAAGCCGGCCCAGAAAACAATCATGGAGATCCCCGGGCCATCACGACATCAGATAAATTGGCGCGTTTCAGAAGGGAGCACCCTGGATGGAGACCTCCTAAAATAGGTATCAATCTGCACCTCCACCTCTTCGCCGTTCATCCTTCAAGACTGGACTGACTCTATCCGTACGCAGTACATGCCTGCCTTTTTCAGCACCTGCAGCAGCACCACCAGCTCCAGACTACGGCTGTCCAGAGCCCAGACGCCGTCGAACGCAGTAAAATGCCTCCACGGTTCGCAGACGTCGGCCATCGCTTGTGCTCGTCAAGCCTCATCAAGCCTCGTCAACTCAACCAGAGACAACTCCCCGCACCCACGCGAACCAATAGCAGCACATCCTTCGCCATTAAACTTGGCCTCGACCAGGAGCCTTCCCCGTCCTCCGCTTTTCTTACTGAACTGCCGTGCGCCATGGAACGACCATCTCGTCACTGCCGCCAAGATACCTCACCCAAGGCAGGCTGTTGTCTTGTCCTGTTTCGTGGCATCGACGCCAAGTGGCCACTCTCATGTCATGACCGGTAAAAGGACGTGAACACCCCACGCAGCATCAAGCCATCGCATCGCCAAACGCCGCCCAGAGCCATGAACACCACTCCAGTGTCGTCCTCAGTCCGAACCGTCTCCGTTTCGCCAAGCATGCAGACTTGAGACGCTCCCTTACTGCTCGTGGCACATCACTTACAAAACGCAGTGTGCCCACAACAAGAAATTCCTGACATCAAACAGCATCAACCTTACTCCCGCGTTTGGGGCTGAGCGCCCTCCACCTTCGTCCGATGTCTCTGCGAAAAGTCTAGACATTCCGCCGTCCCGCCCTGTCGCCCTGCAAAATCGCCATGCCACGCAAGCCATTTCACGATGCATCTACCAGATGACTGGCCGCCGGGTGCATCCGATGGTCTCGGCTCTAGGCGGATGACTACAATCCGAACACCAGCGACCCAACGACCGGTCTCGCTCGCACCTCGAGACTGATGCCATCCACAGCCCCCACATTGGCAATCGACAGAACGGCCCGCCGTTGCGAGAAGAACCACGTCTACGCAACGTCTCTCAGTCCTCTTTTCTTTTTCTTCCCAAACAGCGGCCCACTGCTTTATCTCAGATAGCCTCAACCTCAGCCGCAGGCCACAGCGACCCGGTCTTGCGGATGACTCCTGCCGATCAAGTCATGCCCCGTTGGACGACGGTCGATCAGAATCTGAACTCGTCCAGGGGAGCTTGACAATGCCATATGATGACTTGCTTAATTCGAAGTTTGTTTTGCCGCACAAGAGACGACGGCGCACGTTCCGCCGTCGATTATCATTTCGACAATCATCACGGACTCGGCCATGATAACTTAATCTCTACGGTGGTGCGTTCTCATTTTGAAGAGCGAGCATTTCTCTCAAACAAGTGTTTGTATGCGAAACAACTCAAGTCCAAACTCTCGACCCGAGCTGTCCCATCAACTCGGTACGGCTCTTCAACAGGGCCGTCCTTGCTGTCGTCTTTGCCGTCGCTCATTCTCGGGATGTGGGTCACCAACCTTGCCTTGCCTTGCCTTCCCTACACGGGTGTCAAATTCAGGGTCGCGGGATATGTCTCTGATCGTCATATCAACGCTCTTCGTTTGGAAAAAGTCTCTTGGTCTCATGTGCCGAGACGTGCAACGGACGAGCGGCCTGCCGTCTGACCGGGCGGCAGCCTGCAGCTTCGGTATGCCGTGTCACGGGCCAGCCTGCCGAGGTGCTTCTTGTCTACCACTCTTGATACTTGATTGTGGACCGGCCTCCGTCCGGATTGCAACGCTCGAGTTTGAGGGGATAACCAGCATTGCGAATTGCGACCTTGGAGGTCAGATGAATCGCATGCTTCGAACGTAGCTTAATCTTAATCTTCTTTTCCTGCAGATCTGCTCATGCTATGTTGATGCACGGCTCCGACGTTGGACCGTCGTTGACGCAACTCTGTTCGGGCCGTGTGGCGGTCGTTCCCGCGGCCATTGAATGGCACAGAAAACATCGCAGTTGAACAAGCAAACACAAACGGGATGCAACGACACAGGAAACGGGCCTTGGGCCAGACGGTGACTCCAGCCTTTCGGCTGGCGCCCGGAGAAGTTCGTCCTCGCCTGATCAGCTTCGCGCGCGATCCTTCGCTGCGGCACCAACCATACCCCCAAGACGCTGATGGAGGCCGCAGCCAATCGCCTTGCTGCACCGCATGGACTTTCCCAATGCGGCATGAGATCAGCTTAAAGAGACGACGAGATCTCCAAAAATGTTGGAGAAAACTACAGCTCATGAGCGTCTGGATTGGACATGCACGACAGCTTACCCCACCGTGATGAAGCTATCATCTTGACAAGACCAATTACCCCGCCGTCATGGTCTTGAGCTGGCCGAGTTGGTTTGCATATCGCGTCAAGACTATGTGTAGTCGTGCTTCCCACAGGAAGCAGCGGCATATCTGTGGTCACACGCCAAGATAACCGTCGCATACCGGAGGCGTTTGAATGGCTCGATATCACCAGACTACTGCAAGATCCCCCGCATTGCATCTCGCCCAGCCGCCCGTTGAGGTCTAGATAAGGCTGGCCGCTGCCGCTCCCTCGCCCGCCTCAGCCAGTCCGTCTCAATTCGCAAGAAAAACAATACGTGATTGTGCAGACATGGCCATTCATCCGTTGAAAGACCTCTCCGAGGCCGAGTTCAAGCTTGCTGGCGACGTCGTGAAGAAGCTTTACACCTCTGAAGTGACGCTCTTCTTCCGCGCAATCTACCTGCAAGAACCGAAGAAAGCAGAGCTCATTCCCTTCTTGCAGGCCGAGCATGAAGGCACCCTCAACGACAGCACGCCGCGGCCCCCGCGACGGGCGCGGCTCCAGTACGATGTAATCAAGAGCGGGAAGCTCCCGGAATACACAACGTCCATCGTCGATCTCGAAACGAAGACAGAAGCCGAGCGCATCGTGGCCAAGCCAGAGTCTCAGACCGGCTACACCCCGTAAGCCCCTCCTGGAAAGCCATGTCTGCCCACACTGACACGATATCACAGCGATGAGTTCGGCGCCTTCCAAGACGCCTGCATCGCCTCTCCCCTCTTCAAAGACGCAATGTCGGAGTTCTCCCTCCCCGAGAACTTCACAGTCACGATCGACCCTTGGCCCTACGGCGGCCCAGACCCCTCGGACGGCGCCATTCCGCGCACCATGCAAGGCCTCGTCTTCGCCCGCGACGCCGCCGCCAACAACCCGGACTCGAACCACTACGCCTACCCGATCCCATCATCCCCGTCATGGACTTCACCACCAAGAAGATCGTCCGCGTCGACCGCCTCGCCACGGGCGGCAAAGACGACCCCCTGCACCCGCAACCCAGGAACACATCCGCGGGCCCCAAACCGCTCTTCACGACGAAGATCACCCCCGGCGCCGAATACGTCCCGGAACTGCTCGACATCCCCCAGCGCGCGGACCTGAAACCCATCAACATCACGCAGCCCGAGGGCGCCAGCTTCACAGTCCACAGCGACAACCTCGTCTCCTGGCAAAAGTGGCGCTTCCGCCTCGGCTTCACCCCGCGCGAGGGCGCCGTCCTGCACGACCTCTGCTACGACAACCGCCCCGTGCTCTTCCGCCTCAGCTACAGCGAGCTCACCGTCCCCTACGGCGACCCGCGGCCGCCGTTCCAGCGCAAGCAGGCCTTCGACCTCGGCGACGGCGGCTTCGGGCGCGTCGCGAATAACCTCGAGCTCGGGTGCGACTGCCTCGGCGCGATCCACTACTTTGACGCGCTGCTGGCGGACGCGGGGGGCAACCCGACGGTGGCCAAGGCGGTGGTGTGTCTGCACGAGCAGGACAACGGGATCGGGTGGAAGCACACGAACTTCCGCACGAACCGGGCGGTGGTGACGAGGTTGCGGGAGCTGGTGGTGCAGTGCGTCGTCACGCTGGCGAACTACGAGTATGTGTTCGCGTACAAGCTCGACACGGCGGGGGGGATCACGCTGGAGACGCGGGCGACGGGGGTGATGAGCGTGGTGGCGATGGACGCGGGCAAGACGGAGAGCGAGTACGGGGTCGTCGTGGCGGACGGGGTGCTGGCGCAGAACCACCAGCACGTGTTCGCGGTGCGGATCGACCCGGCGGTGGACTCGTACGCGGCCGGGGACACGGGGGTCGTGGTGGAGGAGAGCGTGCCGGTGGCGATGGACGAGCGGACGAACCCGTACGGGAATTTCTATAAGGTGGTGAAGCGGGAGGTGGAGCGCGCGTGCTGGGTGGACGCGGAGCCGCGGGTGAACCGCGTGGTGAAGATGCAGAACCGGCGGGTGCGGAACGCGGTGAGCGGGCGGAACGTGGCGTATAAGCTTGTGCCGAGCGCGACGCAGCTGATACTCGCGGACGAGGCGAGCCAGGTGAGTAAGAGGGCCAAGTTCGCAAGGCACCATGTGTGGGTGACGGGGCACCGGGACGAGGAGCTGTGGGCGGCGGGGGAGTTTACGAACCAGAGCGTTGAGGAGGAAGGGGGTGTGTGGGATATGGTGCAGCGGGGGGACTGGTTTGGCGACAATGATGGTGATGTTGGGGAGGGGAACGGAGGAGGGGAGGGGAGGAAGAGTAGTCCGGTCATCTGGAGCGTTTTCGGGCTGACGCACAATCCCCGGGTTGAAGACTGGCCTGTGATGTGAGTAGCATTTGTCCGAGTGAGTTGGGTTGTTTGCTAACGTCGGAACAGGCCTGTCGAGATTCATCAAATGCATATCCGGCCTGCGGATTTCTTTATGTCGAACCCGGCGCTGGATATGCCTGGGGCCAGGAACAAGACGAGCGTGATTGTGCCGTGTTGCGGAGGGTCAGGACAGAACGGGGCAAACGGGGCGAAGGAGGGGGGTAGTGTGCAGCGGGATCCGGCGGCGCATCTTCAGGGGCCGGGGCCGGATGTTGATGCTGAGGAAGTCGGGGCGCATACACGATAGACGGTGCGAAGCTGAGAGTATAGCGGAGAGGTTGGACGTGGTGATGGCTGCTCTTGGATGCCATGGTGGAAGCATCCAGGGGCTGGTTGTTCAAAGGCCGGCTTTGGGCAATGACGAGACGCTGGAGGCTGAAGTGCTCGGCGGGAATGGCCCATCGAGGGCAGTAAACGTAGCTTATCCTCATCTCTCCATCAACGTTTCCGAAGGATCGTGGCTAGCAAGATTGCAGCTTTTGAAAGACATGGCTAGTATAACGGCCACGTCTAGGTAATCTTCACCCGGTGTAAGTCAAGCTGAGTCCTGTGGTGTTCTCTCTTGCGCAGGTCGAACCCGCACTTGATTGCGAATAATTGCCAGTCTTTGCAGACATCCTCGGTTCTTGAGCCCGATAATTGCCACGTTACCATCTTGACCGGGACTTTCTCGCAGCAAAGACTGCGTCAACAGCTTGTGATAGTCGTTGGTGAGAAGACTTACACCGTCGGAAGCGGGCGCGTCGGATGCAGCACAGCTGGCGGCAATTGCACAGACGCCCCGCCGAGCTGGCACCCGCTAACCCCACCATCGGCAGCGACCGGCAGCAGTCGGCACCGACTCAAGCCGCGGCGTCAACGTCAACGAAACTCAAACCGTGGCGACAAAGACCCCTTCCTGCTCTTCAAGATTCCCTCCCTTCCTCGCGGCGCAAACATCTCACATTGCAATTTTTAATTCCTGTCAACCTCCCGACGAGTAATTGGTCCTTCGACATCGATCTACCCCCCCACGAAATCTACATACCTACCGATCGAACGAAAACTACCCCGCAACCCCCACCACGAACCGCACAATGGAAGACGTCCCCCTCGAACACGGCTCCCTCGAGCACCTCCTCCCGCCCTCCTGGAAGACCCTCGTCACCGCCTGGCTGGCCGAGGACACGCCCTCCTTCGACTACGGCGGCTTCGTCGTCGGCTCAGACCCACGCAAGGCCACCCTCTGGGGCAAATCCGGCGGCATCGTCGCCGGCCGCCCCTTCGTCGACGAGATCTTCCGGCAGTGCGACTGCACCGTCGAGTGGCACGTCAAAGAGGGCTCGCACATCGAGCTGCGCGGCCACGGCGGCGCGCCCAAGGGCAAGATGGCCGTGGCGACCGTCACGGGCCCCACGCGCGGCCTCCTCCTCGGCGAGCGGGTCGCGCTCAACACGCTCGCGCGGTGCTCCGGGGTGGCGAGCATGACGCGCGGGATGCTGGTGAACCTGCGCGCGGCGGGGTACCGGGGCGTGCTGGCGGGCACGCGCAAGACGACGCCGGGGTTCCGGCTGGTGGAGAAGTACGGCATGATGGTCGGCGGGGCGGACGCGCACCGGCACGACCTGAGCTCGATGATCATGCTGAAGGACAACCACGTGTGGAGCAAGGGCAGCATCACGAACGCGGTGCGGGCGGCCAAGAGCGTGGGCGGGTTCAGCTTGAAGGTGGAGGTGGAGGTGCAGAGCGAGGCGGAGGCGGACGAGGCGATTGAGGCGGGTGCGGACGTGGTGATGCTGGACAACTTCACGGGCGAGGGCGTCAAGGTTGCGGCGAGGAGTCTGAAGGAGAGGTGGGCTGGCAAGAGGCACTTTCTGGTCGAGGTCTCGGGCGGGTTGACGTTGGAGAATGTGGAGAACTACGTGTGCAATGGTGAGTCTTTGATGATGTTGAACTCTGGGGAGACGTCGGGATTGAGCGATTGTTGGGCTGACGATTTACGCAGATGTGGATATTGTTTCGACGAGCGCGATTCACCAAGGCGTACCGCACGTCGACTTCTCGCTCAAGGTCGAGCACTAGGCGGGATGGAAGCCCGGATGCTGGCGGCCATGAGGCCATTGTCCGAAGACGCGAAAAGGATTGCCAGGAGTCGGCCGGATAGAGCACAGCGGGAGGTCGCGCGGTCTTTTGATACCTTACTACTAACCTTAAAAACAAGTCAAATACAACATCGATTGAACCCAAGCCGCGATTCTTTTGAGTTTCACGTGGGAGAGGCATGGGACCAGGAGAAGTCGCCCTCTCAGCCTTATCTCAAATCATGTCCTGTCACGGGCCGTTGGAATTGCGATGGTCCAAAATCTGCTCGATTGGAGCTCGCCAAAGAGGAGATGAAGTTGCGGTGATTTAAACTTTCCGATAGAATACGAAGTTGCCCCGCCGCGGGGTGCCGATTCGAAGCGATTAAGCAAGGGCGTCGGATTGGCTCTTCAGACGTCGCAAGTGGGGACAATGCGAGGACTGCAACTCGATGCTCACCGGACATTCAACAGACTTTCAACGGACTTGAGCGGTCAGCAGCTCTCTGAGAGCGCTCGTTGCCTGAAGAGTAGGGATTTCCGAATGGTGGCAAGAACAACGCGGAGGATGGCGTGATGGAACGCAGGCCATGCTTGCCATGATCTTATCTACGGTCTTTGCGGCGATAAGCCTCAACTGCCCAGATCATACTCTTCGAAGGAATATCGAAACCAAATTTTGAGCTGAAATGAGATTATCGAAGCCCGAACCCCTGCCCTCGTCCAACACGGGAAGAGAGATTCTCGAGATGGCAATTAAAGGGAGTGCATTCGGGGCGAAAGATCGTTGATCCCGTTCTTGCGTGCAATCTTGGGCTGTTCCTTCAGTGCCACCCGCTCGACGCGTTCAACCTATCCGTCCTGCGTAGCCGTTATCACCCCTTCTATTCTGCCCAGAGCAGCCACCGGGTGCGACGTCAAGCATTACGCCAAGAGAATTGCGTTGCCCCCCCTTCCCCCTGTTGCAGGAAGGGTCGCCTCGTGAAGGTACAATTACCACATCACATTTTCAACGAGGAAAGTTTAATAACTTCGTTGGAGGAGTAGTCCTTGCTTGCACAAAAACTCTGTTTTATTACCCCAACACCGGCAGACCACCGCCTGCACCTTGCCCTGTGGCACAGAATACTAGAGTTTCAGACCTGACATGACACTGAAGATTTTTGATGAGTTCATCTCAAATAGAAAGACAGAATGGTTTGCATAGAATATTTCTATTCTTGTTGTAGAGTTGGGTGGTGTGTTGGATTGTGGCCGGCATCGTCGGAACTTCAAGTCGGAAGTCCAAACTCTAAATGTGGGACGGATTGAAGAGCCAACAGAGGTTGTCTGCAGTCCTGCACTCACGAAAGAGACACAAGGCTCTGCAGAGAAATAACAATCGGCAGAAAAGCTGGGCGCTTCCCTCACCCATCTGCCTGAGGAAATCTTTCCCGGCAAGTTGCCAAGACGCGGTGGACGGGGTATGAGGCGGCAGTTGTCAACCATCCCATGTATCACAACCGACTCAGCCAAAACCTTATTTCGCCTCCCACACCACCATTCCCACGCACGCAGCATCACACTTTCTAGAAGATGAGACCCCTTAATCTACTAGTCTTGACAGGAAGCACACTTGTCACATCAAAAGATGGGAAGGCCATCCCTGCGAAAGCTGAATCGCCTCGCTATAACCCGCGCGCGCAGGACAAACCCGTTGGGCCCTTCCTCCGTGAACTCTCTTTTCTCCCCCCCTTTCCCGCACACCATGCCCTTCATCGAAATACAGTTTCGCTCATCCACGAACTGACCGGGTTACAACTTCCATTTCATATCGGGTCAAGGTTTTGCTTGGCTTCCTGGTGGTGTTCGTTCCGTTGTATGTCACTGTTCACTGGGCATCCTTCTTTTTGAGAAGCTGAGACAGCATCTCGAAACATAACGCCGGTGGTCTGGCATTTCAGAACACGGCCATCCCCGGATCACTCACCCCCTCCGGAGCGTTTACACTCCCTCAACGCCTCGGAGACACCAAAACCACAAAAGCAGTGCATCATGTTCAAGCAGAGCCCGTTGAGGGCCAGGGCCCGACCCAAGACACTCATTCTCCTGGCCGTGGCCGCTTTCCTTTTCTACACATCATGGACGGCGTACATCCGCAACGGGCGGGACGTCGCCATCTGGCGCCACGGGCACGCGGCGACACTGGCCGAGGAGACACCCACGAAGCCTGTCGTCCCGCTCACTGAGCCGTGGAAGCCGGAGCAGCCCAAGACGACGCCGGCGGACGCGGACGCCAAGAAAGACGACGGCGAATTGAAGAAGCAGGAGGACGACAAGAAGACGGAAGAGGACGAGAGGGTCAAGGAGTGGGAGAAGCAGCAGGACCAGCCGCAGACCGTGCCAGTGCACGACGAGGCGGAGGACAAGAAGAAGGCCGAGGAGGAGAAGCGGAAGAAGAAGATCGAGGAGGAGGCGAAGAAGAAGAAGGAGAAGGAGGAGGCGGAGGCCAAGCGGAAGAAGAAGGAGCAGGATGCGGAGGCTGCGAGGTCGCACCACGAGCAACAGTTGCGAGACCAGTTCGCGAGGGAGTATGAAGCCGCCAAGAAGTAAGTGCCGCAACTAATTCGAGCGTCATCGTCATTTCATCAAAAACGCAGACCAACTCACATTATGATCAGGCTTCCTGGCAGCGGCGCCATCTATGGCAACACGCTCGCCTCTCTGAGCCGCAAGGACGACCGCCCGGCCAAGTTCGCAGACCGCTTCAGACAGTCCGCCGCGGAGGAGCAGCCCTGGGCCGCGAACCAGCGGCCGGTGCACTTCGACCCGTACCCGGACTACAACAGCGACGAGTGGAACAAGACGCGCCGCGCCGCGTACGTGCCGTGCGTCGGCGCGCTCGGCGAGCCCGTGGAAGACCTGCTCGTCTTCAAGGGCCACCCGCGCGACTTCCCCAAGCCGGGCATGGGCGGCTTCGACATCATGGACATGGACGGCGACATCTGCTACGAGCGCGACACGCGGCTGGGCCAGTACGGGCTGACGCCGCAGCTGCACGCCAAGACGGGCCTGCCGATCGACTGGGACAGCGTCAAATGGGGCGAGCTGCAGACGAAGTGCGCGAAGCAGAACGCGGCTCGGTTCGGCAAGGGCAAGCCGAACGAGTACCTCATCACGGCGTACGAGGACATCGCGAGCAAGTACGGGAACGAGATGAGGAAGCGGGAGGACGGCGGCGAGCTGGATGCGCGGGAGGACACGGCTCACGAGAGCCGGACCGCCGTGCTGCTGAGGACGTACACCGGCAAGAAGTACACCGAGAACGACAAGCAGGTGATCCGGGCGCTCGTCTCGGAGCTGTCGCTGCGGTCTGGTGGAGAGTACGAGGTGTTCCTCCTGCTGCACGTGCGCGACGACTCGGTCAACATCTTTGACGACAAGGAGCGCCAGAACGTGCTGGACAAGCACATCCCGAAGGAATTCCACAGCATGACCAAGGTCTGGAACGACCAGGCCGTGTGGGACATCTACACGGCGCTGACGGACGCCGAGGAGCGGACGGTCCACCACGCGCAGTGGCTCTCTGTCCAGAAGTTCAGCATCGACCACCCGGAGTTCGATTTCATCTGGAACTGGGAAATGGACGTCCGCGTCGTCGGGCACAACTACGACTTCGTGCGCCGGCTGGAGGGCTTTGCGCGGAACCAGCCGCGCCGGGGCCTGTGGGAACGCAACGAGCGGTACTACATTCCCGCCTTCCATGGCGACTACGACACCGATTTCCGTCTGCATACCGAGCAGGCCACGCGCGGCAGCCAGGTTTGGGGCCCGCCGAAGGTGTCCTTTATCAACCCCGTCGGTCCCAAGCCGCCGGTCGCGAACCCCGAAGACGACGCGTATAAGTGGGGTGTCGGGGAGGACGCCGACCTGATCACGTTGGGTCCGATCTTCAACCCGGTGAACAGTAGTTGGATTTTTGGTGATAATATCTGGGGATATAAGGATGAGGAGAACCCCGATCCCAGGACGCTCCCGCGCCGGACGACGATTGTGACGCAGTCCCGCCTTTCGAAGCGTCTTTTGGATATCATGCATGTCGAGAACCTGCGCGGTAACCACATTGCGTCGGAAATGACCCCCCAGACCGTGTCTCTGCTGCACGGTTTCAAGGCCGTTTTCGCACCGCACCCTACCTGGTTCGACCGTCCCTGGAACGGTGCGTTCCTGGACAAGTGGTTCAATTCAGGAGACATGGGCAGTGGCGGCGAGGGTAGTCCTTTCGGCTACGGACGAGAGAGGAGGTACCAAGGCACTACGTGGTACTACCGCGCGGAGCCCCCTTCCCGGTTGTACAACAACTGGATGGGCTACGTCGATACGGATATCGGCGGTAGGAACTGGGAGATCGAGCACGGCCGGCCTTGTCTGCCGCCGATGATTCTACATCCCGTCAAGGAGGTCGAGCCGACGGAAGCTGGGTTCGCTACCCGGTTTGAGCTTAACTACGGTTAAGGGTGTGCGGGAGAGGTCAGCAGGACTGAAGACGATAGTGTACATTCTGGAGCTTCACCATTTTCATATGTGTATTTTAGATTCATGGCATGCAGCGATAATAGACGTGTGACAAACTTCAAGACAAGACGAAAGGACATTGGTGATTGAGGGAGTGACTTTGAGTTGATCTAAATTCCGTGTCTACTTAAACCAAAGTTCAAAAAGAAAAAGCAGAATCCGCCCCCTCTCCCCTTCCTCTCTCCCTCTTCATGTCGAATTGGCTCCTATGAACCCTGATGGCTACAAAACATATGAGCAGAGCGCCAGATAGCAGCCGCGTACCCCTTTGGGGTTCTAGAAGGCTAAAAGACACACACACACACACACACACACACACACGCACACACACGCACTCCTATGGACCCTGAAACGAGGTATCCTGATCAGGGCTCCAGTCGAAAAGGCTCATGTCTAGAATCCATGGGTCCACAAGCAACCCATTCCCAGACCGCGAATCATTTTCCTGATGTTCCATCCCATCATGGACGCCAGTAGAATGGCCCAACCAATGCTCCAGAACGCCTTGCTGCTGCGCGTTGGCTTGAGGCTGAAGTGGCCCATGCATAGGCGTGGTCGGCAGATAGAGCATGCTGTCCGGAGCGCCAGGTGACTGGGGCTGATGACTGAAGGTAGATGGTTCGTTGAGGACGGCAGGGGCTTGCGCTTCAGTCGGTGGACTTTCACGTCGGTAAGATTGAGACGCCTCTGCAACAGCGCTCGCGACGATTTCGACCAGTTGAGTACGCATGGGAACGTCGAGAGAGACTGAGGTTTCGAACGTCGTCTGTTCAAGAAGCCGTAAGACTGATCGAGGAACCGCAAGTTCCATGTGTCGTTGGAACCGAATTGACTCCCTGCGTTGGAGAAGCTCCAAATGCATCTCATCATCCTCATAGTCTACACTCAATAAAAATCGGATATCAGCAACGGGCTCCGAGAGATATGAAAGGTAAAGAGGACTCACATGGACTTGGAATGAGGTCTTCTGGCACATTGGGAAACAAGAGCTTGTATATGGCTCTCCACTCTCTCTCTGTATTGCCCCTTCTCCTTGTTCGGAGGGCTGCCTCTTGCTCTTTGTTGAAGCCCTCCGGGGGAGTTGAATCGCTCAGCGGGCAAAGAGCAGCCTGTCTGAGGTGAAGGTTGCATTCTGTTTCTGTGTTGAAAGTCTGTAGGCAGCGAGGACAGTGAATTGGCAAGGCGTGCTGTCGAAGTATGTGTTCTCTGTAAAGAAATTAGATATTGATAGGGAGATGTCTGGAAATCAGCTGCACTCACTTGACGCGATGAATGCTTATCCATCCTGGCCCAGCGCAAGATCGGTGTTTTCCATGGTTCTTGGGATCGTTGCGGTAAAATGGGCAGGCGAGCTTCTTGATGAAGGAGGGACTGCTCTCAACTCTGGAACTTTTCGCGCTGGGTGCGTCTCTATCTTCTCCGTCATCGCTTTGTCTGCGTTGAAAATATGAGCGCTTTAAAGACTTTCGGAGACCATTGCTGCTTTGATCGTCTTGAACTCGAGCCGGCGGAAGTTGTCCCAAAACAGATGTCTCAGGACAAGCTGAGCTTCCATGATACACTTGGAACGAGGCACGACTAATGCCTCTGTTGGCCAAATTGAAAGCGTTTTTCAGAACTCGCATGTGCTCCAGACCGGCGGACTTGGAAGTCATGCTGAGTCCAGACGAAGACAATGAAGTCCTTTTAGAGAGGCATTCTACAGCCAGCATGTTGCAACTGGCGTTGGATTGTAGTGTCAATGTCGAATGTCGTGTCGTTGATGCCCCTTGCACAATACGGTGGTGTGAAAACTCGTGCCTAGTGAGATTCCTGTAGCTGACCAGTCGAGTTCGCTGAGAGTTACTCGAAGTTGTCTGGTTCGTGGTGAAGCACGATATGGACCATTCCAGGCAATGAAAATGCTGTACGAGCACAAGAACGAACTAATAGGAGTCAGTAGGCATGCCTGTTTGAAATACCTTTCGACAAAGTGCCTAATCTCCGAAAAAGGAGAACAGTACTAACCGTAACGCCAGCGAGATACATCAACCGCACCACGACAGACCCGAAATAATACACACCCAGGCCACCAGGAGACAAATAAAGTAAGCAGGATAGTTTGTGAGAAGGTATATCTATGCCAATTAACCACATCAGTAAACAACGGGAGATGAAATACACCTAGTCAGTGGGAATAATACTGCAACCAAGAAGTAGAATCCAGCAATTTGCTGTTGAAATATTGACGGGGTACTCACTGCTGCTGTCCAAGGATTCAGGCCCACATTGTTGCTTCGTTAAGCCCGACTCAAGAGATGACGTGAAAACAGTGTGCAAGAACGGCACGGGCATGACGAAAGATGGCGATATCTTGGTCAGGGAGTCTTCCCATAGCTCGATACGTGCTAACAAAAGTACAGACTCTAATGATCGCTTCTGTGATGAGCAATGATAGCGTAGACTCATAAGCTACGATATGTCAAACGTATGGAGAACTTGAAGTGCATGAGGGGACCGGGCGTCTTATAAAGGGCTACAGAAACAATCGAGAGACAGACCCGGCCGGCAACATGATGGCATTGACGACATTTGACAGGTCGGCCGCACGCCAAAAGCATGGCCTACCTTGTCAATTTCCCGGAACGCGCAACGGACAAGGCAGCAGCTAGAAGATGATGTACACCTATAGCCCCCATTTAGTGCAGAGCGACCTGCTGCTTTGAGCGCTCGGACCACCGCACCGTGCCAGTTACGTACGGTGCGTCCAAACTAGGTAATTGACATTGCTTACCCTTCAAAATAGCCTCGCTCTCCATTCACGGAGACCTCCAGAGCCTTAAAGTTCTGCGCCGCAGAAATGATGCATCCAGAATCACAAACAGCCAATAGGCAATTTTTTGACATCTGATTGTCGGACCAACCTCCGAAAATACACCAAAAATGATGCCCAGTATTCAGACAGGAGTTTCACTGCACAATATGACTGGCTGTTCCTACCAGCGCACGACTATCATGGCTACTATTCGGCCGTGACCCGCTCAGCGCAGGTTCACGAATATTTGGTTGACACCTTTGTAAGGCTTTTTTTCACGGAGCTAAGGGGATCGACCCACGGACGAGGACTTGGGCAAGTACCTGGTCCTAAGGCAGCTCAGCGATTATCATTGCACAATCTGATTGGCCATGTTTAGAACAAGGCTCTCAATCATGCCCCGGCCATCAGATCAGCTGCTTTATCTTTCGAAAGCAAGACGCAGGCCCCCACAACCTAGGTTCAGATGCATGAGATATCGGACGAGGTACTATTGCATACCCCTTCCTCCGTCATCTCTTTGGCCTCTTATATGGCCTCTTATATACCCGCTTTTATCGGCCAGTCCATCCGCAAGTCTCTCTGGATGTACCCGCTTTTACCGGCGCCGGAGCCGTCAAAGTCTGCCGATGACCGCCTCAATTTTACTACGACATTCTGGCCGAACACGTATGCAATAGTTCCGGAGCCGCTGCCTAGATTAAGCCGCAACACACAACGGGTGACTCCAGACGCATGGAATAGTCAATAGATAACTGTTTGAAATTTCATAGTCGGGCCAAACTTTGCGAATGGATAGGTAGGAACTGACGAACGGGGGAATGTATGATGCGTATCGGAGAGAGCTAACTGCGGGCGCTAGGGCGCTGGATGGGGCTGTATGGCATCCTCTGGGACCAGCCGAGTGGCAGGACCCGCCAGCAGGAATTGTGTCGGCATCAAAGCTGCAGCGGTAAGCAGCGGATCAAATTGCTTTCCCCCGAAGAAGATCGCACGCAAAAAAGCCTAACAGAGCTGGTTGCACGCGTTGGGAAAGAGAACGAAGTGCGAATTTCGGCGGTCACTCGGTCTTTTTCCACGCTTGCCTCTGGGATTCTCTCTGATCAATTGATCAGCGGCAAAGTGAGAGTGGCAGGCATATAATCCGAATGCATGAACACAATAATGCGCTCAACTTGGCAGACAACCGTTGAAATAATTCTGAAGTCCATTGCATCGCTGCGATCCTCGCCCGGCTCCTTGCCGTCACCACCCCTTATTCAATATTTGATCTGCAAACCAAGAAAGGAATCATGGGAACATAGGCGTCGTCGGACCGCACCATCTCCGGAATTCCTTTTGAGCGAAGACTAGGGAAAAGCTGCTTAAATGCCGTCACCAAATCGTTGTCCCAGTTCATCTCGCAGCCGAAAGCTTTTGCGAACACGTCCCCTCGCACCATCACTGCCCAGCACTCCGCCAAGTACTTGTCCAGCTCCTCCCGATTATCGCGATGAAATGGATCGTGTGCGACTTTAAGTCTTCGTCGTGGCTTGAAATTAGCCAAATCCATGACCTCCGCGACGAGCTCCGTCGGCAGCCCTCTTTTCTTCAGCATTTCCTCTACCGGGAGGATGTCACTATCATGCGGCATGTATTCGACGTTGAACACATCGCGCTGGGGAATCCGCGTGTACGGAGCCAGGCCCGTTGGGCGTTCTGGAAGGCCGAGGAAGTACAGGTGGGAGAGGTATGGTAGCTGTGAGTACGCGTCGCCGCCGGTCGCCTTGCTGATCATTCTCTGATACATTTTGGTCAATCGATAATCGCAGCGAGTCCAGGTCTCCGGGTGTTGGCGTAGGATCTGGAAACAGATGAAAACCAGGGTTGCGTTTTCGTACATATGGCGCGCACTGCCTTCGTCCGCCTACATTATCTTAGGTGAGCTCAATGGGGTCCTTTTTTCAGAACAGGCGGGGGCCACAATACTTACGCCACATTGACATATACAAACCGTCGACCATATGTCAAAATCGTTGTCAGGATTTGCAGCAAGGCGGAGCAGTGGCTCCATTTTGCCATGGATGAGCAGCGTCAGTAGGAACTGCCAGCTTTTCCAGCCGGCGCCATTAACCTGTTCAAACTCATAGCAGTGGTTCACCTCCCATTGCCGTAGAAGGCCATCTGCCCGGCGCTCGCTGTAGGGAACGAGACATTTGCACGGCGGATCGGGGCGGTGGCGACAGCTGGGGTTTTTGATGAGGTGCTCATACTCAGGCAGCCGGCCGAAGAGTGGGCTGATTTCCCTGACCATCTCATCGTCGACTAGAATCTCGTCGTGGGGTGGGCTTGTGTATTCTGTTGCGTATTTGCTGCGTTCGCGGGCGGAGTGCTCGGCGATGGCTTCTGTGAAGACGCGGATGAAGTCGTTGATGCCCGCCACCAGCGTCGGCTCGGGCTCTAGGCGGGGGAAGAGGTCTTTGTGGTCGGTAACATTGGGCTTGGCGTGGATGAAGGTGAATTTGGCAGCAAGGTCAGCCCAAGGTAAATCCGGCAGTTCGTCGGCCATTTTGATTCAACGTGAGATGGGCGACGCAGCAGAAGTCAAGAGTGGCGTGGAGGTCGGATAGTGCCTTTTGTAGGATCGTGCTGACTCAGTGGTTGAAGCGTGCCCAGGCTGGGCATTTTGGCCTCAGTCCCATCACGGTACCAAAGTCCCTTTTCATCGACCGAAGATGGAAACTGAGATCACTTGTCGAAATATGGCATGATTTTGTGTCTAGATACATTTCGCTGATTAGGCATCAGCTTTGTGCGGTCAGTAGACCGCAGCTTGTAGCAAAGCCTGGTAGTATGAAGCGATTGCCAAAGAAGTCGCCGTAGAATTAAAGTTGACAATTGGAGACCAACTATCCCATCAGATATCGGGTTTTAGTACAAGGTAAGGCTATTGTATGTCCATTTCATAGTGTCCGATCCATGAAGAATCGCACCACATGCGGCTTCAATCCATTCAACTCAAAGACAGCAGAAAGCCCAGTCACTGTTAAAGAATTTCTCTGCACTATGTGACTTAGATCGGTGCCTCATGTCTCACTGTTCAAAAGGCGCCGCTGATGAGCGATAGCCACCCCGTTTGATTGAAGCATTCCAGTGACATCGCTCTCCCTCCCATTCCTCGTCCATCCCATAGCAACGCACGTGTTAAGAAAACAAGAGCCAAGCAGTCCAGATTTAAGGGAAAATCAGTCTGTTCCCTCTCACAGTTTTGTCCAAGCCTCATCCAACCCCGAAGGAGCCTTTGTGCGCGAGCTGGTCATAAAAAATGAATTTCGTGAAGCACATTGGTGAGAACCCGTCCAGACCAAATATCTGAATATCAAGATACTAAGAGAACCACAGAAGACAGTCGTTTCCCCCGCGAGGATGATCGCTCGACAATCACATTGGTCGATCAAACAATGGAGAATCAACATCACCACCCAAACCCGACCCGCAGCTACGGGGACGA